TGTACATATGATATACACCAATGAATATCAACATAGGACAATAAATATGGTCAGGGGCGGACTGACCATTTAGGCACTCGGGCACTGCCCGAGGGCCCGGGGTCAGTAGGGGGCCCTATGAGATACACCTGGTACCTATCATAGGCTTTTTTGGGTGTGGTTTGAGTGTGGGTGAGGACACAGGGGCCCCATGATTTCCTATTGGCCGGGGGCCCCATGATTTGTCAGTCCGCCCCTGAATACGGTAGCAAAATAATGCGACCGTATAATAACCAATGACTACAAAGGCAAGGCATATCATTAGCAAGGATATGAGAGCTAACCATAACCATATCCAAAGTAAATCCAACGTAATAAAATAGCATGCTATCCAAAATAGCATATTTGGAGAATAGGAGGGGTCCATAGAACAACTACCTCAATTTTCATTTTTAGCATATTAATGACTTGCCCCCCTGAGGATTTCCCCCCTTTCCTGACCAGACCATGTTTTGTGTTACGGCGCTGCATTACTTTAACTGATAATTGAGCGGTCATGCAATGCTGCATCCAAATTTACGTCCTTTTTTTCCTCACAAATAGAGCTTTCTTTCAGTGGTATTTGATCGCCTGTGTGTTAATTTTTTGCACTATAAAAAAAAAAAAAAAAAAGCCAACAATTTTGAAAAAAAAAAAACAATATTTTTGACTTTTTGCTATTAATACGTTGCCGCCCGACCTATAGTGGATTGACGGGCAGGCGGTCCTCATCTCCCTGTGACTGGGCGTAATATGACGTCCTATGAATCGCGGCATGCAGCGCGGCCGTTCCTGTCAGGCTGTGTCCCTCGAACACAGCGCTTCCCCACTGGAGGTAAAGAGCCAATTAAATTGGCTTTTCACCACATGATCGGCTGTGACCTGTCACAGCCGATCATAAGTGTAAAACACACTTATGTGTGAGGAGGAGAACCTAGGAACAGTGAGTTTTTCAAACCCTTTCACTACTGTGCACCACACTGCCCCTAATAAAGAGTCCCTGTCAGTGCCACCAGTGGATCTGTCAGATCAGCCCATCAGTGCATCTGTCAATGGAGCCATTAGTGGACCCATCAGTGCATCTGTCAATGGAGCCATTAGTGGACTCAGTGGATTTGTCAGTGCTGCCATCAGTGGATCTGTCAGTGCCACCATCAGTGCAGCCCATCAGTATATCAGTGCCACCCGTCAGTGCTGCTGTCAGTGCCGCCCATCAGTGCTGCCGTCAGTACTGCCCATCAGTGCATCTGTCAGTGCCGGCCACTTGTGTGGATGAATCCCTTGTCCACTTCACTGGCCAGCTGGGATTCAAGCAATACATCCCCAGTAAAAGGGCCAGGTATGGATAAAAGCTGAACAAGCTCTGTGAACGGGCTACAGGATATGTGCATGCATTTCGCGTGTACGAAGGCAAAGACTCCCAAGCTCCAGCCCCCTGAGTGCCCAACCTACATCGGCAGAAATGGCAAAATTGTTTGGGACCTGGCATTCCCACTGTTCCAAAAAGGTTATCATATCTACCTTGATAACTCTTATACCAGTTTCCCCCTTTTAAGGTATCTGTAACATAAGAAAACCTTAGCCTGCGGTACCACGCGAAAAAAAATAGAAAGGGCTTCCTGCAAAGTTTAATAACCACAAGGCTACAAAGGGGGGAATCCAGAAGTCTGAGAAACAGTGGAGGGATAAGAGAGATGTTTACATCCTGTCCACTATCCACAATGACACCTCGGTAGAAATTCATGGAAGACATGGTCCCATCCAAAAACCTGAATGTATCCACGATTATAAATCGGTGCATGGGGGGGGGGGGGGGGGTTAAATGACCAGATGTTACAGCCCTATTTGTCAACAAGAAACTCCCTCTTCTGGTACAAAAAAGTTGCAATTTATTTTTTCCATTTGTCCATTTACAATGCATTTGTCATCTATCAAAAGTCAACAGAAATATCCACCACCTTCCTCATTTTCCAGAAAAACATTCCACCCACAGAATCAGGAAGAAGATGCCCAAAAATATGTTGGGTATGTGACAGAAGAGAAGTTACGAAAGACACCAGTGTTCATTGTCCACAATGTCCCTCCCAACCAGGCCTATGCATCGGAGACCGCTTTCAACGTTAACACACGTCACTAAAATATTAGTTCCCCTTATTTTTAACAGCCTGCCATTTAACAGCCTGCCATTTCCCAGTTTTTAAAATCCATGCTGCCTGCTGCATTTATTGACCATGCCTTTGCCTTCCACATTAACTGACCCTGGCTTGTTTACCGACGATGCCTCTGCCTGCCGTCTGGATTGTTTTGAAACTGCTTTTCTGCCTTCCACCTGAACTGACCCTGGCCTGTTTACTGACAATGCTTATGCCTGCCGTCTGGATTGTTTCTAAACCACATTTTTGCCTTCCACCTGCACTGACCTTGGCCTGTTAATCGACCATGTTTTTTTGCCTGCCGCTTGAACTGATCTTGTGCCCTGCTACTGTAGTAGTGGGATGCAAGATAATACAGGGGTCTCACATATGTGAGGGGCTTCAGAGCAGAGAAAACCAGTTTTTGGTTTTCACCAGGTTTTGTAATTCCCGGATCAGGGTCTGTTAGTCCGGAGGCTTTGAAGAGATTGGGTGGGATGAGGCCTCTATCCCTGTGACCAGGTCTTACCTGACCGAGGCCCTAAGCCTGATGTTCCTTTCTGCTGCCTGGACCAATACTGTGCTGACCATATCTCTGCCTGCTGACTGTAATGACCCAGGAGATTTTATGGACCATGTTCTTGCCTGCTACCTGCACTAGTACTTTGTCTGTACTGACTATATCTCTGCCTGCTTCCTGGACCACTGCTCTCCTCTGCAGACAACTTCTCTACTACAACCACAGAATCTTCTGTTTACCCTTTGTTTAGCTAGGCTGTGAAAAAGTCTCATGCATGTGGTATCACCATACTCAGGAGGAGTAGCAGAATGTATTTTGGGGTGTAATTCTTGCTATATCCATGCTGTGTTCTTAGAAATATCTTTGTGGGAAGAAAAAAAAAAGTTTTCACTTTCTTTCCACATTTTTGAAAAACTTATGGAAAAAAAAATGACACGTTCAAAATACTCCTTATGCCTCATAGAATATACGTTGGGGTATTTGCTTTTCAAAATGGGGTCATTTTGTGGGTAATTCCATTGTCCTGGTGCTCCAGTGCCTCCAGAAATGTGATAGGTAGTCAGAAAGTTAAAAGTTTAATTTATGCCCCTAGAACGTCTGCTGGCACTACTTGGATGTTGGGCCTCTGTATGTGGCCCACACGTGGTATCGTTATATTCAGGACAAGTAGCAGAATGTATTTTGGGGTGTAATTATTGGTGTGTACTTGCTATATGTTAGAAATATCTTATAAATTGACAACTTTGTGTAAAAAAAAAAAAAAAAAAAAAAAGTTTTCATTTTTTTTCCACATTTTTCAAAACCTTGTGGAAAACAATGACATGTTCAAAAGACTCATTATGCCTCATAGAATATACGTTGGGGTATTTGCTTTCCAAAATAGGGTATTTTTTGTGGGTAATTCCTTTGTCCTGGTGCTCCAGGGCCTTAAAAAATGTGATAGTCAGGAAATTAAAAGTGTAATTGATGCCCCTAGAACTTGGATGTTGGGCCTCTGTATGTGGCCGGGCTGTGTGAAAGTCTCACACATGTAGTATCGCCAAACTCAGGCCAAGTATCAGAATGTGTTTTTGGGTGTAATTATTGGTATGTACATGCTATATGTTAAAAATATCTTATAAATTGACGTTTTGTAAAAAGAATAAAAAAAAAGTTTTTTCATTTCCTTAATGCATTTTTCAAAAACTTTTGTAAAAAACAACACTTTCAAAAGACTCATTATGCCTCATAGAATATAAATTGGGGTGTTTTGCTTTCCAAAATGGTGTCATTTTGTGGGTAATTTCATTGTCCTGGTGCTCCAGGGCACTTCAAAAATGTGATCGTCAGGAAATTAAAAGTGTACATTATGCCTCTAGAATGCCTGATGGTGCTACTTGGATCTTGGGCCTCTGTATGTGACCAGGCTATGAAAAAGTCTTACATATGTGGTATCGCCATACTCAGGAGTAGTGTTTTGGGGTGTAATTGCAAGTATACATATGCCGAGTGTGAGAAATTTGTTAATATGAAAATTTTGTGTTTAAAAAAAAAAAAAAAAAATGTTCCTGTTTCCAAGAATTGATGGAAAAAATGACAACTTCAAAAATTTCACCATGCCTCTTACTAAATAGCTTGGACGGTCTACTTTCCAAAAAGGGGTCATTTGGGGGGTATTTGTACTTTCCTGGAATGTTAGGGCCTAAAGAAATGAGATAGACCATCGGTACATCAGATGTGATCAATATTCAATGAATGGTACCAGAGCTTGTAGACTCTATAATTTTCAGACAGACTAAATATACCCTGATTTGAGTTATTTTTTTACCAAAGAGATGTAGCAGTAAAAATTTTGGACTAAATTTACGAAGAAAAATTTACTTATTTGCAAAATTTTTTAAAAAGTGTTCTTTTTTTCACCCTTTTTTCACTTATTTCGCAAAAAAATAAAAAAACATTGGTGATTAAGTACCACTAAAATAAAGCTCTATCTCTGTGAAAAAAATTGTAGCAGTTTTGTGGAGGTACAGTGCAGCATGACTGAGGAATTGTCATTCAAAGTGCGAGAGCACTGAAAGCTGAAAATTGGTCTGGGCCTGAAGGGGGTAAAAGTCCCCTGTATTGAAGTGGTTAAACATGTCCAGTAAAAAAAATTTAAAAAAAAAATCTAATTTCATCATAAATTTAGGCCAAAATGTATTCTGCTACATGTCTTTGTTAAGAAAAAAAAAATCCCAATACGTGTAAATTAATTAGTTTACGTGAAAGTTATGGTGTTTACAAATGGCGGTATATACTGTGATGTTTTTTATACTAGTAATGGCGGCGATCAGCGACACATATTCTGACACTGGGGGGAAGCGACCTGGCGTCACCAATATCCAGTGACACCAATACAGTGATCAGAGCTAATAAAAAAGCACTGACACTGTACTAATGGCACTGGGCAGGAAGGGGTTAACATGTGGTGCGATCAAAGGGTTAACTGTGTGCTGTTTTGCATACTGGGCTGTGTTTGTGCTTCACTGTAAGCACACTGCTTTGCATGGCTGTGCAAAGCAGTGTGCAGGAGCTGACAGGGGAGATAACTGATTGTTTACAAACAGTTCTCCCCCCAGTCGGAGATGCTTGGCAATCACTGGACATGAGTAATCACCGTCCGCAACCCGGTGATTGACAGCCGAGGCCGCGAATGGTGGCGCGGGTAGGGCTTGCATGCGCCCCCTACCCGGAAATGCTAAATCACGTATATATACATGATTTTGCGCACCCCCTGCCGCCCTGTAGCAGTATATCTGCTATAGGGTGGCGGGAAAGCAGTTAAAAGAGAGAAAAAGAAAAGAAACCCATACTACTATAGGAATTAAAATAATAATAAAAAAATAAACGATGGGGGCGTGGAGAGATGGGGGATAGGAAAGAGCCAGAAAGTGCCAGTGGAGGCTACAGCATATTTCTCAAATAAAAGGGGAAAAGCCTCCTGCGCTCAAGTCTAATAAACTAAAATAGGCTGCTACACCTGCACCTTATTACCTAAAGTGGAAAAGCATAAAATAAACAACCAATAAGTATAGCGCTCTGTGACAACAAACTAAAATACTCAACGTAGGGTATTAATGTGACAAATGGTGAAACAAACAGTGAAAACTTCTCAATAAAAGTAAATAAAGATGTATCTCGCAGCAGTGCAATAACACATTAATATATATATATATAGTGAAAAAATGGTATTGAGCCTCCAGTGGGAGATATAACCTACATAAAGAGTGACAACGTGGTGCTCCGTGTCAACACACTCAATCAATACAAATGTATATACCACTAAAACCATGATAAATACAAAAAAGTAAATAAAATGAATGAATGCCTCACTCATAAATATATTATATATAACACAATACGTGCCACCAGTGTCCACAACAATAAATTATAAACATGCAGGTGAATCTTGTGCGTTGTAGGCTCTGGTGAGGACTCCACACACAGCTAGATTGGCTCCTCACCTCCTTGCTGTGACCTTAAAAAGGGCCTATGGGCCTTTTGGATCACACCTGGATCCTCCTGGGTTAAAGCGTATCCTCCAGAAAATATCTTTAAATGGCTTTTATTCAGGAATATTATCAGCTCCCACATGATCCGCAAAGAGAAAAACCTCCATAGTGTATTACCATTTATTTATGCAGTAGTTTAAAATGTAATCAGAACACTCACATGGTGGATCATCTTGTACACAGCATTAGAACCACATGTATGGGTGTACTTGCATGGGTTCTTTTGAGAGTCCAAAGATGGCATCCGTGCCAAAAATGACGTCACCTACGTGTTGCGTCACTGCTCACGTGACTTCATCAGGGTATGTCCCAGTTTTAGTGTACACTTCTCGTCTATGCTGGGCCATGAGAACCAGGTCTTCCATAAGATTCAGCTCTTCTACCTTCTTTAGCCATAGGCCAATAGTCGGTGGTTGAGCACATTTCCAGATAAGAGGGATACATGATTTAGCTGCATTAAGAAGGTATAAACATCTTATAAATTTTGACCAGGGACTCAGAAACATGTAAGAGAAAGAAGGCTGGGTCCTCGTGAATCTGATAGTCAGTAAATTTTTTGGACAGTATTCCGTACCTTTGTCCAATATTGGTCTAAATTAGGACAGGACCAAAAAATATGAAGCATCGTCCCCCGCACTTCCTGACATCGCCAGCACCAATCAGAGGTATTCAGAATTTTAAAGTTGGTTTCGTGGATTTTCATACAGATCGAAGATTTTAGGGCAAATCTGAAGATATTAGTCCACTGAACTGTAGTGAACATCTTGCCTAGGTCAGATTCCAATTTCTCCATAGATGGTAGATGTTGATCTTAAGGAGTCACCAGAAGCTTTGGAAAGTCAATGAGTGAGGGGTCCCTGATCGGAGCAGTATACTTCTAACAGTCTAACAGACGGCTAAAGGTGTGTGGTGGCGGATTTTTTGATAAAAGAGAATAAGTGTCATTATCACTCAAAATGTTATTAACTTCATTGATGTAGTCAGTTTTAGATAAAACAACCACACCGCCCCCTTTATCTGCCGGTCTTACCACCAGATCTTTATTTTCCAACAGAGTATCCATAGCTCTCTTATAAATAACATTAGTTCTCGCTTTCTTTACTTCCAATGTGTTAAGGTCCTTTAGGACTGTATCTCGAAATGCATTAATGTAAGTTAATGACTGCGCGGGAGGATTAAATAACGAAGCATTCCTCAAATGAGAGTTAATGCTAGTGCTTGAGGAATCGTTACGTATAGTAGGGTTAGTCAAAAAATACTTTTTAAGAGTTAATTTTCTGACATATTTCCTAACGTCAATATAAGTTTGAAATTTACTCAAAGTTGCTGTAGGTGCAAATTTTAGACCTTTACCAAGAAGATTAAGTTCATCTGGTGATAATTCTGTTTTACTAAGATTAAAGATGCCTACTTCATTTACATCTTTCTTTTTTTTGGGTTTGTTGACCCTCTGGCCTCCTCTTTTTCTTCTCCGTGGGCACTCCTTTTCTGTGCCCGTCCTGGGCCTAAAAAAGGCTGCTGTATTTGTTTACCCTCATTTCTTTGATGACCGGAATAAGAGGGGCCAGCTTGTGGAGTTCTGGATTGTTCATAATAAGGTCTGAAACCAGGTTTTTTAAAATTACGGGCATTTTTTCTTTTATTTCCTGAAGCATAAGGTTTATACTGGTGTTGGTAGTAATTATTAACATTATTATTGCCATTATAGTGGGGTCTTGGATAGTAATTATCCCTATGTTGTTGCCAATTGGAGTGCCAATTATTACTTCGTGAACCTATGTTGTGATCGGTCATAGGATCCAAAGCATCATACCTGTTGGATATAGGCACATTAAATTCTGTGCGACGTTTCACAGGTGTTTCATAGTAATTATAATTACCTTTATTATGCTTAGGTGGATAACCTCTAGTATTATGAGGGAGTTTAGAAGGTTTGTTTGAAGATGTGATAAGAGGTGTAGATGGGACCGGCGTATTAGCCTTATCTTTTTGCCATCTAAAAACATAATCATCCTGATAATCTTTCACATCTCTAGCATACTTTTTACGTTTTTTAATCCTTTGTTCATTTTCTAAATGTTCCATATATGCTTTTAATCGATCAGACTCTGACTTATATTCATCTTTATCTTTATGTGATAAGAGTTGTTCTTTAAGTTTATTGATCTCTATATCTAGATAGGAAAGTTTCTTTTTCTTCCTAGATATGAGGAATTTCAATAATTCAATGCCAGAATTATTGAAGAACTGAAACCACTCAGCTGAGCTGTTAATATCCTCATATTCCGGAGGTACATCCCAACGTAGGGATCTTGGGACCATCTTTTCCTTAACATATCTGTCTAAAAATTATATGTCCCATAATGTTCTGATTTCAGCAGATGTGAGATTTTTTAGGTGAACAAACAAACCCTTCAAATTAAATTGTTCAATAGGTGTGGAAAATACATCATCTGGTATGATGGACCTCATTGATCTAATATCAAAGATATCTGCCATTATTACAATTAATTTAGTAAAAGCAAATATTAAAATCCAGCTGCTACAACTTAAATGGTAATACAGATAAAATAAAAGAAAGTGAGCGCTAGATAAGAAGCTGCTATGCGCCAATAGGTACCAAAGGACTCTACAAAGAACATATGAAACAAGGGGCGCAGCACTAAAATATAATATACCTGATACACATACATATATAGCAAAAAGAATTATTGAAAAAATAAGTGATTAAAATGTGCCAAGAATTGTGCAAAAAAGCATTCAAAAGTCCTTAAGTAATAAATGGTGATTCAAAAATGTGCGTCTTATATGGAGTTAATACGCAGAGACAACAGAAAATATGCCCGTTTGTAACTGGCTTTTCAATTCAACATAAGGCTGTTTCCAAAATAATTAAGGCAAATTGGAAAATATTGAAAACCGATCCTGTCCTAACTGATTTCTTGCCTGATAAGCCAGAAATAGCGTTTAGAAAGGCATCCACATTGCGAGACAAGATAGCCCCCAATGTTGTTAATCCCCCCAGTAGCTTTTCCTTTTTTTCAGGGCTTAAAGGATTTTTTCCTTGTAATAAATGTATTATTTGTAGATGTAATGGAATCAGAAAAAGGAGTATTGATAATTTCAACTCAACAGTAACAGGAAAAAGTTATAATATTGACGGCTTCATTACATGCAATAGTAGATTTGTGGTCTATTTATTGCAGTGCCCGTGTAAAAAACAACATATTGGAAGAACTACGAGGAAACTAAAAGATCGTTTAAGAGAACACGTCAGTAATATTAGAAAGGGGTACAAGGAACATTCCTTGTCTAAACATTATCGTTTATTTCATAATAAGGACCCCACTTCACTGATGTTTGCTGGAATTGATATTATCAAGACACACTGGAGGGGCACTAATAAAAAGAGATCAGTCTCGCAGAAAGAATCTAAGTGGATTTATGAATTAGACACTTTTTATCCCAAAGGCACAACATTGAGTTTGATATTAATAGTTTTATTGATAATAGCTAATTTTGCCCATTTATTTATATATGTCGCCATTTAGAATTTTCATCTACCTATATTAGTCACTCATTCTTTGCTATTCTATTCTATATTAATTTTTACTGGATTTTATTATTAATTATTTGGTTAGTTTTTTATCTAATATCACTATTAATATTCACATCTTGACTTTTTGTGGATTCAGTATTGTTCCACATGCTTATTTAATATTTTTTTAGTGATTATTTATTGAATCTGTGTTATTCTCTATATATTTACATTTATTTGTGTTGTGGTTTATATCAATTTTTACCACACACTCTTTATTGCTCAGTTGGTTTATGCCATTTAACGCTTGACACTTTAGTAATTTTTTATGTATTTTTATATTCATCATCTATTGTAAATATAGTGCAATCATATTCTTTATTGATTTTTTATCAATTGCACATATTGCTTATTTATGTGGTTCACCCTGGTGTGGTTCTTGGACATCGTGATCTTTTATGTATGTTTACTTGTATTGATATTATGTACTCCATTCATTTGTATTTTTGTTTTATACTTAGAATATATTATTGTCTTTTTAATCTTAT